TGATGTTTTTCAGCAGAGCTTTAACTGCAGCACATAATCAAACACATCAGATTCAGCACATTTCAAACACTGATAGAAAAGTGTTGCATTGAAAAGACACAGTATCTTTAAAATCTGACACCAAACATAAACATAAACATAAACATGATCTACAACTTTTCCTTTTAGCTGAAAAGAGTGAAATCTTAATATTCACTAAAAATACTTTCCAAATTATAAAAATGATGCTCAACAGTAACAGAGTCACTATAAATCCAAACAAGATGAAAATATTTCACCATAAAGCATTTTGGATGGAAATTCTTTGGCCTCAGTGAAAATTGGTGGTTATGTGACCCACTCAAAATATAATATTCATACTTTTCTCCACTTCACACCTCTTTCTCATGTATTAACTTATTTCTTACAAGTCATTCATTTACATCTTTAACACATCTTTACTTAAAGACCCAGAATCTGACACATTCCTAAGGAGGGAGTGGACATCCTTCATGGAAGTGAAAGACTGTCCAAACACCAAACCAACACTTCTGTGGGAAACAGCAAAGGTTGTAATAAGAAACAGAATAATCTCATATTCATCATTAAAAAAGAAACAAATTCAACAGCAAAGATTCTGAGAACAACAAATCAAGCTTTTAGAAAATATCTGTGACATCATTAATAAAAAACAGTATTATAACTATCCTGTTTTGTGTGACTGACATTAACTGAATATCTATCTATCTATCTATCTATCTATCTATCTATCTATCTATCTATCTATCTGTCTGTCTATCTGTCTATCTATCTGTCTGTCTGTCTGTCTATCTATCTATCTATCTATCTGTCTGTCTGTCTCTAGAAATTGTTCCTGGGTTCAAGTTAGCATTTTGACTGGACACTTAAGAAGACAGACAGTCAACTTAAACTTCTCTGTAGAGAACAGAATTCAGGGATCCTTCAATAATAGCAGGTTTTCCAGGTCCTGATGCAGCAAAACATCCCCACACTGACCCACTACCGCCCCCAAGCGTGACTGTTGGGGTGGTGTTCTTGCTGTAAAATGCAGGATTAGTTTCAAGCCGTTCATTCATTCTTGTTATCCAGAAGGTCACACTTCAGACTGGTCTGTCCACAGAACATTCTCCCAGAAGGCTTAGAGACTGCCCAGGCGCTTTTGTTTGTAAATGTGAATCAAGCATTTATGTTTCTTTTGGTTACCAGTGTTTTCTGCATTGCTGCCCTCACATGAGCCACTGTCACTGCTGGGTCATGAACACTGCCCATAGCTGAGGCCAGAGAGACCTCATTCCTTCAATGTTCTCCTGGAACATTTGGAGACTTCTTGGATGATCTGCTGCAGTGCCTTTGGGGAAACTCTGGCTGGCCAGTGACTCAAGTGAAGATTCATCAATGTTCTTTGGGTTTTCATTTTTGGCGCAGTTTTCTAGATTTTCTAGAACCTTAGAAATGTTTTGAACCCTTTTCTGGATGTTCTAATATGAGTGAGTTTTACATTCAGCAGGGCTGATTAAGGGAACAGTTACTTTTTCACACGGATGGTTTGAAGGTTAGATAACTGAACTCTGTAAATAAAGTTAATTATAATGTAATAAATGTGAAACCGTAACATTTTCAAACTATCCAGTCCACATTACAAACACTAGCTGCATCTGCATCTACATTATGTATATGAAAATTAAATGTATCTTACTTATGACCTCATGAGGAGGCGTGTTCATTGTTAATCACTTTGTTATATTTAATTGGCAAATTCTTTCCATCATCTAAAACATTGGTGGAAGTATATATGCTGTACTGTAAAAAACATAAAATACATTCTTTAGTTTATTAAGTTTAATAAAATAGAATTAGGAATTCATGTGTATTTATAGTATGTTTCAGATAACAAAGTAGTGTCTACTAGTAAGTAGTTTCATTTCTGTAATATGTTACGATTTTCAATTTCGTAAATTACAGATGGGGAATAGTAGTTCATGGTGGCATTGACGGCTTTAGTCGTCTAATTGTGTACCTTAATGCTGCCACCAACAACCGGGCCTCAACAGTCACGGGCAGCTTCCCTGAAGTGGTCAATACCTATGGAGTGCCTTCACGTGTCAGGTCTGACAAAGGAGGAGAAAATGTTCAGGCTGCACATTTCATGGTGTCCACTAGAGGCCTAAATAGGAATTCCCACATCACTGGGAGAAGCACACACAATCAGAGGAACCATTCTGTAAAGACTCTGTGTTCACATTCATTTTCAAATTGACTTTAGTAGTGTCCGACTAAAAAGCTTTTTCGGTAACACTTTCTATGAATGTCACCTTTGTAAGCATCTATAAACACATTCATAACATGTTATAATGCATTCATAAGACATTATAAACATAACTATAAATATTTATAAAAATGCATTATACATTATAGCCATGTTTATTATGCATTATAAATTGTTAACATAATACATTATAAGTACTGTTCATAACAAATTATAAGAGCTCATAAGTGGTATTTGTCCGCTCTAGGTAAAGTGAAGCGTACTGTACTAAAGCCTCCTCCAGTGTTCAGAGTGAGGCTTCAAGTTGAAGTATTTACTGAAGGATTTACTGAAACACTAAAACATAAACAATAAAGCACATTACAGGCTTCAAATGTCAGAGTTTAAACTAGTGCTGCCATTAGTGTTTTACCCAATGTGGGAAAGGTAATGTTCACCACCGTTAGCTTGGTATTTGTCTTTACTTTACACTCTCCAAGCTGGGACTGACTTCTTTGGCACTGACATTATAACATGTTATTAACACTACTTATAATGCATTATTTTAACAACTCATAATGTATAATAAACATGGCTATAAAGTGTAATTCAGTGTAATTCTTTTTTTATAAATATTTATAACCATGTTTATAATGCCTTATGAATATATTATGACATGTTATAAATGTGTTAATAGATGCTTACAAATCTGACATTCATAGAAAGTGTTACCGATTTTTCTTTGGGTTTAGTCAACTACATTTTTCATGCTTGGTCACTCTACCTAGGATAGACAGATCGTGGAGAGATGTCTTTGGGGGAGTTTTAGATCTCTTCTACACCATTTTCTGCAACCTGGAGAGGGAGGGCCTACTCAGCCCAGATGAAGAGACCACATCTACGCACTGCACTGGACCTTTCCTCCACATATTCAGAGGCATTTGCAGTTCTTCAAGGATGGCTGGAACCACCATAGATTGCGCACAGAGGAGAACCAGTCACCACTTCAACTATGGATGCAGAACTAACTTGAGGGGCATCAAGACCCTCCCCAGGTATGTTTGAAACAAGGCTAGAAGTAAACCTCTATCTATAGATAGCCAAACAATTTTGTACAAGCTAAGGAATTTAGGATTAATACTGATGGTGTCCAGCATTTTTTCATGTATTAAGTAGTTCATCAAATAACAATGATGTACTTTACCACACATTCTTACATTATTAGTGATATGATCAATGACTGGTTACAGTTTATGCATTTTCAAGCATGCCCTTATGCTGGCCATAATGAATTACACATGACCAAAACATGCTTGTTCTTTCTGTGCTTCTTTTTTTGGTCCTCCTTAAATACACACTTTGAAAAAAGGCAAATAATGTGCTGTTCAAATTTTAATGTTCAATATAATTCTAGGTTGATCCTGAGTATGGGATTGACTGGGAAGGTCCACATGGATACCACCACGAAGGAGTCACAGTTCCTGAGGTTCAGCTTCCCCGGCCACTATCTGAAGTGGAAGTGCAGAGACGGCCAAATCCACGAGGTCCTTTTTCCAATGTATTAAATCTGTACAGTGAGACAGTTGTGGTGTTAACAGATATACTTTCAGATGTTTAAAGGACAGACATCTGCTGACATGTTTGGGTTTTGGATGTTCTTCTAATATTATTTGATATCCATAGCACACAACCTTGTGAGATGGTAATTATTAAGCAGAGCACTAAAAACATATGAGCCCTGTCTTTTCTCTGAGTTTGCTGTGATGCCTATATAGCAAATATGTGCAGGCGTCCTATAGTTATGATGTTATCATTTTGTTTGCCTAGAATTGTAGCAGACCCTGTTGAAGGGTCATAATTGTTGAGGTCATTTCCTTTGCAATTAATAACCATTCATTAATTCTTATTTAGCTTGTGCTTCCACTCACTGGCCACTTTATTAGAAACAACAGCTTAGCCACCATTCGTCATTGGTCAGTTACTAATCATTGTTGATCTGTTTTTGAGTGGTGGACCAGCAGGAACACTGAAATGGTACAGCAACACTGCTGGAGCCAAGAGCATCGTCACATCCAAATATATCCAGGCAACAGCAAACTCAGGAAACGACCAGTGATGAAGCTAGAAATGATCAACACAGATGTGCATGGAATATATGTGGTGCAGTTTTTAACTATACCAGCAGGAAATGTCTTATACATGTTTCAGATAAAGTGGCCAGTGAGTGTTTGTACCCCTGCTATTCACAAAAGCACACATGCTGGCCAAATGTTTGTGCTATAATTCTTAGTTTAAAATTTTGGTCCAAAGCTACATTTTGCATGCAACAAATACCTTTTTTTAATATTTGGTCAGATGAGTAAGGTGGTCTCATCATGTGTGATGGGGGCATAAAACTGGGTATGATATAAAACTCCAGTTAGGAGTCCAGCATAGTTGGCCGATTCCTCTGCTCAAACACACCCCATTCAACTCAGCAGTAATTCCCAGAGTTAGTTGTTGGGTCAGAGCAGAGAAATCAACAAACTGCGCTGGACTCCAGCCCTCAGTTCTCTGACCCAATTCAGTGTAACAACACTTCTTTACTATCGTGGTGTTTTCTCCTCTCAGGGTCCTCATATGTAGTGTTATTGGTTGGTCTTCTGCAATCATAACTCCGTTGACACCTACTGTGACTCCAGGCTTTGACATTTAGGTAGTTTATGTTTATGTATGTTGTTACTTTAATCAAATTAAATGTTTAAAACACTTTTTTTGTAAATGAAACCTTTTTATTGAACATTGTTCTAATTGAACAGTTAACAGTAATGCATGTATGAAATCTCACCAATTTTATTAAACAAAAAATGCAAATAAAGCTTTTCAACAAAAAAAGTGTTAATGTTGTCTTTGGCTCAAATCTGACCGAATCCAGAGGAGGAGGAGGAGATGCTCGCCATCAGGTCTCGGTGGAAATCTTCATAATTTGCGGTATTTTTCGAAAGCTTTAGAGTTAAAAAGCATGTTGATGATTGGGGAAGGTCACAATTAACAACTTCCACCTCCAGTGATGGGGGAAGGACATGCCAGCCAGTCCAGAATGACAGCAAACTCTTCAAGACCTCAGAGGACCCTGAAAAAGACTCCCCCAAAACAGTATCAGCAACTGTTGTCATATTCTATCGTATCATATATAAATCTTAGAAATTAAGTTATTATAACATCAAATGTGGCAAAATACCAGTTTCTATAAACTTCCAGAAAAAGCCCAGCACACAGCACTGGTCCTCCAGCGTGAGGATGTCTTCATCAACATCTTCCTCCTGTGGCCAGATAATCTCGTCCAGAATCATCTAAGAATGAGCGTTCTTAGTTCTTAGACTTAGAGGCAGTAGCTTTACTGCTTTTTTAAGGCTGAACTTTATCATAGATGGGCAACTCTGCTGTTATTTGTTTGACTTACTTGAGATGTTATCTCTGTCTCAGTGGCCCTTGGGAACAAGATTGGCACAGTGTCTGGTCCAGAGCTGAAAAGCTCCGAAACACCAGTGTCTTTCAGGCCTCTCTTAATTTGCTTCACTTGCTTGGTAGTTCTTCCAAGACCCTGTAAATGTATTACAAAATGTTTGACAAGTTTCTGAAACTTCAGAAAGTAACATGCATAGACTAAACAAACATAACATAACATAACATAACATAACATAACTGCCATTTCTTTAGGGTTGTTTGAAAAAGGGCTTTATACAGTGTTGTAAGTGTAAAATTCAAATGATATCAGAAAACACAGTATTTGTTTTGTATCAACAGGAAGAAAATAAATAAAAATATTGTAAACGTGTGAAACTCATTGACTACATGTCCAGCATTTCTTTTAAATCATCATTATTAGAGGACTCTTGGTGGAAATCAAAGCTTTGAACAAGGTTGTGTATGTTCAGAATTCTTTCCCAGCAGGGTGTCTAGAGCTGCATCATGTCACACATGCAGTCTTTACAGCATAAATACACATCTGGGTTATAAACAATGTCTTGTTTTCATTTCATGTCCTTTCATTGTTTCAAGAACACCATTAAACATTTTAACATTCATTATTGCATATTTGATTTTATGCAAACTAACATAAACCCAAATGTCATTTTCTATCTCGGAGGAAGACGTTTAACTTTCCTGCAGAATAACCCTCAAATCCAGAGGCAGAGTCAGGCTGAACTTCACAAGTATTAAACTTAAAGAATAAAATAAAATCTTACGGCATGGAGAAGAATTTTCTCCCTGAGCCACCACCTGTTTTCTGACGTAACACCAGGCAAGTCCCAGGGCAGCTCACAGAGAGGACCACGGATTTCTGGTTCTCAGAAAGTTCCTGGGTTCCTTCCAACTGATTAAAGACATCAGAGGGTTCAATGAAAACTGAGAGTTTGCAAAAAGTTTCAAATGCAAACAAATTTAAGCTTAAAACAGACATTACAAATAATGTGTCTTTTGAAGAAAGTAAACATATTTAAAAATGGCTTTGGTAAATAATC